GTGCTTGAAAGCCTTTTTTCGTTGCCTGATTTTAAATGTAATATAATCGCGTTGCTAACTGATTGTATTTTATATATGAAGGGATTGGATGCAGTGAGGACCATGACGTAGAGTTGGCTCATGCAAGGTATGAGGAAAAGAAATTCGATGAGCACAGAACGTGAGCTGATCGCACCGTTCAATCACCGATTGTGTTGTCTGATGATGTGGAGGAGGCTGAGGACGACACTGGCAGACTAAGCGAGCTCATTGCTCTAGCAGAGGTGGGCTTATAGGCGAAGGAGGCTAAGGACGACACTGGCAGACTGAGCGAGCTCATCGCTCTAGCAGAGGCGAGCTTGCAGATGGAGAAGGATGGCGACACATTCTTCACTCAGGCCGCAGAGGTCACGGATGAAGCGGAGGCTGCTTACTACAGGCGAAAGGTAGATCAAGGCAATGCAGGTGACCCTAGCCATAGCAACAGTATTGTGGTAGAGGATTGGTACTTGAACGACGAGTTGCTTACTCAGTATGTTTCTGACTGAGGGTTTTTGATTGCGCCGTCTGTTAGTTCCATGCTTTATTAATGATCAATATAGCTATGTACTAGAACTTTTATTGTGTTGTCTTGTTTTCCATTTGAACTATTGATGTATTATACCCAAGTATCATGTACTCGGATTATCCATGGTCGATCTTAAGTGATCCCATCCGTTTGTCACCCTCCGACCCATCCGTTTGTCGCTCCCCAAGTTTTTTTAATAATAGCGAATGCGTTGAGAATTTCTAAAACGAATAAAATCGTGTGAAATTATTTTGAATACGGTTGGCTAGCATATATATCTTGCATGTTTCCCATGTATTTTAAAATCGTAGCGTATAATTTATGTTATTAGCATCAGATCAATGTAAAATAACAATGAAGTTATCACTTTACTCCAACGTTCTTTTTTCATGAGTCACGTTTGGCACGCAACCCTAAGCCCAGGTTCTACCGTGCCATAGCCCACGGCGCGGCACTAATGCGCCAAGCCCCACGGCGTGGCAGGACCTGAACGCAGACAGAAGCCGACCAGCCTCAATTGTAACTGAATAGGAGCTGTTGTCGGTGCTGTAAACAACTACAAGTGCTGCCACGACCGTGCGCAAGTTGAAATGAATATGAAGCAAATAAATGAAGTCCGTGCGTAAGTTGACAAGTTGCCACATAATATTTTCATTGGTTCATGAGTCTGCAAGTTTCGGACGACAATATTCATTCGACATAAGTTCGACATAACCAACTAAGTTTCAGGAGTGTAAGGATCTCTCGGATGCCTCTTGGAAACCTCATCGTCCGGTGGAAGAAGGGGGTCTTAGTACTCCACCTCAAGAAGGGGGTACATCTAGTGCGGCGTGGGAGGGGCCATCCTGTTACAAATTGATAAACAAAAGGTTAGAGTATTCAAATTAACAATATTCAAATTAACATTATGTAGCATTGTAAAATTTGAACTACTTGTTATGCAATACGAAAACAATATGAAAGCACCTGCTGCTCTCGTCTTCTATGCCTGCTAGCCTTGTGACCAGGGTCTTTGCAAACGGAGCAAAGATTCCTACCACGGGTCTCGTTTAAGTCTCCTCCTCCGTACATGTCTTCGACGTACCCTCTCATAGCGTCCATGTCCCCCTTGAGTCGCTTCTTCTTCCTCCTACCCTTCCCTACCTTCATTAGATCCAGATGCGACACGTAGTCATAACCATTATAAGGTGGCCACTATGTCGGGTCAAGATATGGCTCGAAGCACATCTCCCAAATACTAATGGTGTTCGAACGGAGATACAAGGGTGACATATATGGCAGATCCTCATAGTTGTACCCGCGAACCCTGTAGGCCATGATCATATGGGAGAAAGGGGCATGCATGACCTGAGGGACGTTGCAACTGCACTCTACCTTTTCGAGATCAACTCGGTAATTTAATCCACCATAACGTTCGCCACCCAAGCTTGTGCCACCCTTGCCTCGTACACTAAAGATATGGCGGCGGGGTCCATACGGCTCGGCGGTGTGCTGCTTGGCCAATTCCTCAGCCTCCTTCAAATGTTCTGCTCTGGCCTTTCCAAAACGCCCTTGCTCAGCTATATTTTTCTACGCAAGTTTCCACCTCTTGACAAAATATCTGTTGCACTTATGAAAGGAGAACTCAACAATTCTAGACACAGGCAACGATCGAACTTCGGTGAATACACGGTTGAAGGACTCTGAGGAGTTAGTGGTCGTAATGCCATACCTAAAACCTCCCTCGTCATATGCTAACACCCACTGAGCCTTTTGTTCCATCTGCGCCTCTAACCAGGCCTTTTTCGCGTCATTTAGCATCTTGTCTAGTTCTCTCTTTGTCTCCTTGAACTGGTGCTCTGTACTTACACAACATAGAGCCTTTACCTTGTCACATACCTCCTGCTTCCTCTGACGCCGCTAGAAATTAGCAGCAAAGTGTCTCATGCACCATATATGCACTAGAGACAGGAACCCATCTATATGCTCAACTGCAGCATTAAGCCCTGAGTGATGGTCCGAGATCAAACATATAGTGTGAGATAGGCCAAGCACTTGTACACGTAGAAGCCGCATGAACCATGATTATGATTCATTGTTCTCTCCCTCCGACAAAGCAAAAACCATGGGTACTATCTGGTCCTTAGGATCAATAGCAGCAACCATCATCAAGGTGCCTCTGTACTTTTCTATCAGGAAAGTGCCATCAACAAGTATGACTGGCCGATAAAACTAGAATGCATGTTCCGTTTGTGCAAACGACCAGAACACACGATAGAGGACATGCATCAACGGGTCCTAAAAACACATCCCTCTGGTGTCCACAAACCATTTTAAGCCAGGGTTGTAGTAATGCATTGCACATAAGATGTGGGGCACCCTGTTGTACGCTTCCTCCCAACTACCCCTTCGAATCGCCAGGGCAATTTACTTAGCACGCCAAGCCTTTCCGTACTTCACACATACTTAACGAATCCAGATATGGACTGTTGTAAAGAAGACACCGAAATGTCGTTATTGTCATCAACGAGCCCCAATATATGACAGGCAAGGTAACGTGTAGTGAGCTGCTGATGATTTTTCTTCCCCCTATTTGTTAGGCAAGTGTGGGGTTCAACAACTTTACTTATCCTCCACTTGCCATCACTCTGTCTCTTTCGTGCATTTAACCTCCATATACAACCGTTTTTGCATATCACGTGGCACCTCAACTCCTGGTCCGAATGAGTGACGATGTACGGTCTATAGTGATACACAACATAGTCCTGAAGGAAGAGCATCATCTCTGACATTGTATTGAATATCATCCCCTTTCTAAGGGTTTCTTTCTCATGGTCATACAATAATTTCCTACACATCTAGAGACCGGTGTCATAAACTGTCATATCCGTCATGCTGACATCCCTATAGTTCGGAACATCCCTGAAAGGTACGTTCATCGATCTTAGTTGCTCAAGCTCAGTCGCCGTGAAAGTTGGTGGTGGAACATACTGTTGCGCTTCGCTAATTCTGCTCCATGAATTATAGGGGTTATTATCTGCTGGCAAATCTATGACTAGTCTACCCTAAGACTGGATACCACACAAAACCTCAGTTGGTACAGGTAATGGCATACCATTAACAGTTACTGGCATGACATCAACCGGTGTGGGCATATCATGTCTATCTCCCTGGTCATCATCTGAATCGCCCGAATCACTGCTAACAACATCACCGATCCTGTCCTCCTCCTTCTCCTCTTCTTCCAGTTCGAACTCGTTCACATCAAAATCATTGCTTATACAGCCTACTTGACTTGAATGAAACTGCTCCTGCGTCAACTGATCGTCCAAATCCATGTTACCTAGAGCTGCTTCTCCTTCGACCCCCAATTCTTGTTCATTGCCTCCAACACCGTCAATGGACGGCCCGTCCTGAACACCCTGCATCATGTACCTATTCTCCACCACCACCTTAGTCATGGGCTAACTACAACAACTAATGTATAACTAGACTCACTAGGGGAGTACCTCGCGGCAGCGGCGCGCTAGACCGGACTGGGAGGCGCGGGTGCTGGCCTCGGCGGCGGCGGGTGGACACGGGATAGAGAGAAGGGCGTGCGACAACAGTAAGGGCGACGGCGGCAGTCGCGGGCACGGCAGTGAGGGCGACAGCCGTAGTCGCGGGCGCTGCAGTGAGGGCGGTGGCGGGCGCGGCGGGTAGCCGCCGTGCGTGGTCGGAGGCCGCGGCGAGTGGCCGAATGGGGTGGCGCGCTGACGTGCGGGCACGCCCGGCGTGGCGGGCGGCAGGAGCGGCGGGCAAGCGAGGCAGCGTGCACGCGTGACGCCGAGCAGGCGCGGCGGGCTCGAAGGCGCGATGGGTAGGCGGGTGGACGCGGTGGGCGCGGCAGACAGGCGGGACTGGGCCGCGGGCCTTTTAGTCGGCTCTGCCGCGCCACCGATCAGGGTGCGTCGCTGCCACGCGAAGACCGGTGGCGCGGCAGACCCTGCCACGTCGCCGGTCAGCAGCCCCGGTCGTCGCCACGTCATCCTCCAGCCACGCCACCATGCATAGCGCGGCACAGACGTTTCGCCGCGCCGTAACAATAGACGCGGTCAAAAGTGTTAGTTTTGAAAAGAAAAAACAAGATTTAAAATTAGTTTAAAAAAATGTTAAAAATAAAAAAAAAATCGCGAGAGCGACGTCTTCTTGTCTTCTACCGTACGGCTCCATCTTCATCGTCTTGCTCCACCTGGGCTTCTGAAGCACTGTCAGCCCATTCTATGAGGCCCAGCCCAGTTTATCAACGTTGCGCTCCCGATATATCGGGAGCCCCAGCCCGTGTCGTTTCCATCGTTATTAAACCCTAACCCGAGCATCCTGCCACGCCGCCGTTGCCACCGCCGCCCGCCGCCTTGTGGCCTCCATCCCTTGCTTGCCACCCTTGCTTGCCACCCTCCTTCCGCTTGCGCTGCTGAGGGGGTCGCTGGAGAGAATGGGGAAGGGGAAGAAGTCGAAGGAGAAGGAGATGGAGAAGAAACCGGTGGACATTCTCGCGGCGTCCGACGAGGACTCCGACGGCGGGGAGGAGGACCTCTCCAAGATCCAGATCAACGAGGAGTACGCGCGCCGCTTCGAGCACAACAAGCGGCGGGAGGCGCTGCAACGCCTCGAGGAGCGCAGGAAGCAGGGCCTGGTCCCCGCCTCTGACGACGACGAGTCGGAGTCCGAGTCGGAGTCGTCTGAGGAGGAGGACGAGGAGGCCGCCATTGCCTCGCGCCTCGTCGACCGCCGCGTGTTCGAGGTGATCCGCCGCATCCGCAGCGGCGACCCCCGCATCCTCGACAAGGACGCCAAGGTCTACTCGGAGTCGGAGGAGGAAAAGGAGGGCGGCGAAGAAGCTGAGGACGCCGAGAAGGAAGAAGAGTCCAAGCAGGGGAAGAGAAAGGCCAAGAAGGAGAAGCCTCTGTACCTCAAGGACGTCAATGCCCGCCACCTACTCGAGGAGGGCCCCGAGTTCGCAGCGCAGTCCAGCCGGAGCAGCAGCAAGTTCGAGAGGATCGCCTATGACGAGCAGCAGAAGAAGGGATTGGAGGCTTTCCTTGAGGCACAGAAAGAAGTATTAGGCGATGGCGAGGACGACGATGATTTGTTCCAGGTGAAGCCCAAGGCTAGAGCAGGGGCTGATGACGAAGCGGAGGAGGATGAGGAGGAGAAGCAGACCAAGGAGCTTGCTGGTGAGGTCTTTGGGAAGGATGAGGAGCTGGATGAGAACGACAAGTTCTTGAAGGAATTTTTCCTTAAGAGGCCGTACCTTGAGGCAGAGAAGAGGAAGTCCTATCTGGATGATATCCAGGAATTGTCAGATGATGAAGAGGAGCTTGAGATTCAGGAAGAATATGAACATGGTTATAGTTACCGGCATGAGGAGGCCATGGCATCAGGGGCAGTGGTGGCAGACCGGGTAATGGGACATTCAAGAGTTGTTGAGGGGTCGGTGAGGAAGAAGGAGAGCAGCAGGAAGCAGCAGCGCAAGAGCAAAGAGGAGAGGATGGCCCGTATTAAGCAAGAGCAGGCAGAGGAGCTGAAGCATCTCAAGAATTTGAAGAAGAAAGAGATTGCAGAGAAGCTTGAGAGGATCCGAATGATTGCTGGGATTGAAGGTGATGCTGCTTGTAAGCTTGGTGCTGATGACTTGGAGGAGGATTTTGATCCAGAGGACTATGACAAGAAAATGCAGGAGATGTTTGATGACAGTTACTATGAGGCTGATGATGTTGATCCTGAGTTTGGAAGTGGTGAGGAGATGGATTTGGAGAAGCCGAATTTTGACAAAGAAGACGAATTGCTTGGGCTTCCTAAGGGCTGGGCTAGTGACCAGTCAAAGGAAGAGTCTACTGCCACTGATGCGAAAGGTGCAAAAGGGAAGATCTCCCTCAAAGACAAGGTGGAGCTTGAGAAAGAGATGGAAGAGTACTACAAGTTAGACTATGAGGACACTATTGGAGATATCAAGACTCGGTTCAAGTATAAACAGGTTAAGCCCAACAGTTTTGGTCTGAGTGCCTATGATATATTGACAGTAGATGACAAGGATTTGAACCAGTATGTTTCCATTAAGAAGCTAGCTCCTTACAGAGAGGATGAATGGAAGGTTACACATCATAAGAGGCAGAGCAAAGATTTGATCCTTGGAGTCCAGAAGAAGGAAGGGAAGAAGGACAAATCTGGCAAGAAATCTAGGTCTGAGGAAGGTGGCCCTAGTTCTTCAAAAACAGAGAAAGACAGGCTGACAAATGGGCAAGAGTCAACAGATGACAAGAAAAAGACTACCAGGAGTGAAAGAAGGAAGCGTCGTAAGGCTGACCTAAAGATATCCGATGATCGATTAGCGGCATTTGGAAAGACAAATTCGAAGCGTCACAAGATCCATTGACTTTTTGAGATTCATCAAAGTACATCTGGGGAATTTTGCTGTTCTTTTTATGCATTATGGAGCGGTGAAAGTCTTAGGTTTAGCAGTCCTTGCTTCTATTTTGGGAGATGCAAAACTAGTGTTGTCCTAGTAGAAACATCTGTTTCTCTGAGAGTTTTGCAGACATTCAGCCTGTTCGGGAGGCCGTATCGTATCGTGGATTATTTACTGCTGGCTGGTTTGGTGTGAGAGAAAAACACTGTTCCCGGCTGGAAATTTACGATCGTTTACAAGCAAGCGAACAGGCTGAATTGTGTTGTGCACCTCCTTTCGTGGACCATATATAATGTAATTTCCCTGCAATTCGCTGTATACTCTGTTTTGTATTACTTTGCTTTTAATTTTTCTTGTTTCTTTCGTGGATGGTCAGGTTATCCACTTATCCTGGTGATGAATGAATTGGAATATGATCTCATATCCCTGTTGCACTTGCCTCATAATAATGTCGCTATTGTTGTGAATAAATATGTGCCATTTCAATGCATCTAGGTAATTATAATATTTCATCCAGAGAGAAATCTGACAATATTGCACATTGCAAGTAGCCATTCAAAGTATAGCAACTTCTTTTCATATTCAGAAAAGCCAGTTTGATAATATGCTGTTAGTATATTAGAACACTCAACCTAAAAACACTGAAACATTTGGTCTAAAACCTAAAAATAAATTTTCTATTATTGTAGCCTTGAGTTATGTGGCAGTACTCCATGGGATAAAGGTATTCTTTTATACGATTAACTTCAAGTTTGTAACTAGCAAGTGTGTTGAATAGACTAAATTTGAAGTAACCAGTCTTAATTCGATCTATGAATGACCTCTGTAACACCCCAGGTGTTTGCCACCAATTAAGCAATGGGTTTGAGCTTAAACATAGCATGTTAAGTGATGATGAAGATGGCAAGGTCAAACCTATGGAAAGGAGCCACCACTTAAACTTGGACCATGCACCATTGCTTACATGCTGTCCTTTCTTAAAGGTATGTTTGAGTAATGCTGGATGTACTCGTTTCATGTGTCTTGCATCAATATCCATCTATATTGATCCATGGAAAAGTTTCGTGAAGTTTGGAATCAAGAAGTCACATGAAATGACAAGTTATGTCCTTGCTTGGATCGTTTTATAAAGTGAATATAATTCTAGATTGTTCACCAAACCTTGCAACCTTGCCCAAATGACTCTAGATGAACTCTACAACAAAAGTCATGAAGGGTTCATGTTGGGCAAATGCCAAGAAAATGCTCCAATGGATAAAAAGGATAATTTAAGCTTCATCGTGATCCTACTTTGGTCAAAGTAGAACAACAGGTTCTATACCAGTTTTGAGGTTGGACCTTAAATGAAAGTTGTAGTCCACATCATGTAGAACAAACTTTGTTTTTGGACTAAGAGCTAGATCAGCTTGGAAGTAAGTCAAATCGAGGTCACAAGATCGAATTTGCTGTTGTTTTCAGACTTAGAATTTTTCTAAGTCTGGAATTCATCATCGTCGACGTTGGCATTTCGCGTTCTCCAAAATTCGTTAAGCAACTTGAGTTGGTCCAAAAATAAAAGTTGAAGGTTATATTATGGAGAAGAGCATGCAAAAAGTTGCACTGAGTTTGACCGAGTTTTGACTTCCGAAAGTGAATTTCCGTGACCGTTATCAAGGCGCTGACACTGACAGTTTGTGGCTTAATTACCCGCTGTTGAAGAGCTCTAATGACCTTGGTCTCTAAATAGAAAATGTAGAGCAGCTCGCGGGCTTCAAACTTTGTTTTGGGCCCAAGGTCTAAATCGGCCTAGATCTGGCCCAATTCGGCGTCCACCTCGCCCACTCCAGCGCCTGCCACGTGTTTGACAGAACGCCAACGTGGTCGCCATGCACCGGAGCGCGTCCCGCCATGGCCGACGCAAGGCCCTACTCGTACGTGCCACGCTGCTGAACGCCCTACTCCTCCATAATCGGCGCCAGAGCTGCCCCGTCCCTTCTCGCTCTCTCTCGCTCGCGCTTTGGCCGCACCAGAGCTCGCCCACCATGGCCGCCGCTGCCGAAGCTCCATGGCCGCCGCTGCCGAAGCTCCATGGCCGCCCCGTTTCAGCTCCGGCTTTTCCTCAGGCCCCACCAACCTCGCCTACTCCTTCCTCCATTCGCGCCGCACCTTCCCATCGAGCTGTTTCACGGCTTCACTCTGCTGGCTTCGCCACCACCGGCTGGCTGTCATGGCAATTTGCGGTGGCGGCGTCGTGTCGAGGCCACCTTGAGTCGTCTCCGGCCAAGCTGAGAGCCTCAGTGGATGCGCGGGGACCCCCTGATGCTGCGCCGCCACCCCATCGCCACCGACGAGCTTCCTCCGGCCGGCAACAGCAAGCCCGGCGGGCTCCTCTGCTTTGAACCCCGTCAAGGACTCCGCGCAAGAATTTGAAGAAAGGGAGGGTCCTATCTACAATGTCATAGACTCATGTGAATAGTGCCGTAAGGACTGGTTTGTAATTATTTTGCAGGAACTTTGGAAATTCATAGTAAATCGTAGAAAATTCGTAAAATAGTAAATGAGGACTTTTTGGAATCCTTGTGAAATTGTCTATGCAGTGGATCTATAATATGGCATGTTTTAGTTTAAATATTTTGCGGTAAAAATAGATTTGTGCAGTAAGGTTGTGATGCTAGTTGAATTTGTTATTTTTCATAACTATAGATCTAGGGCTCCAAATGAAGTGAAATTTTTGTGGCATGCTACCCATATGATAGTTGATGTGTGGTAAAAATTTCATGAGTATTGGATGAAGTATGAGTGAGTTATTGGTTTATCTTGCTCTCACGTGATTTCTTGCTTTAGCAACTTGTCTTTTTCATAGAGGTTGCTATACATATTCAAATGGAGTGAAATTTGTACAGTAGACTATTGATAGGATATGTGAGCCACTGTAATTTTTTTAGAATTTATTGTATACTTTTGGTATATGTTCATTAAGTCACCTTGTTATCTAAAATAAATTAAGAAATGCATTAAAAGAATTTAATTGGTCATGAACACTAGGTTTTCTGGTGTTCTTTAGTCATGTGGGAAATGTTGGTAAAGTTGGTTTTGCCTAATTATGTGTTTGCAACATAAGTTAATATTTATTTTCTTGCAAATGTGGTTTTTGGACAGATCTGGGAACTTAGCAAAGTTCTTCATGATAATGTGCTTTGTTGTGAAACTTGTTTATACAAAAGTTGTAGATAATTCATGTATCTAGCTTCTATTAAAATTTGGTGTCATTTGGCCAAGTAGTTTAAGAGTTACAGCTGTTTAAAGTTGGGTTTCAGAAATGACTGCTTTCTGTCAATTGTGGACCAGTTTCTGTAAATGGATATATTTGACTTAGTTAACTTGAGAATCATGCTAAGATGATTAAATATGAATTGTAGAAAATTTCATAAGCTTTCCAGAATGTCTTCTTGCAAGTCATTTGGATTTGTGTAACTCTAGTTATAGCTAAATCTTTTAGCTGCTGTTTGCATGTCCAGAAATTGGCATATTCCAATTATAGTGTTTGCTTGTATATTGTTAAGTGTGACTTATGCCTTGAATGATGACTGAGTTAGAGCACCTGAGATCTTGGGAAACTTGTGCCATGCTTGATGTGCTTGCTCTCTATAGTTAGTGGTGTGATGTTAGTTAAATAGCTATTGGTGTCTATGTCTTGCATAATAACTTGTTTGTCTTGTATGCTTATGTGATGCATCTTGTGTTACCATTCATCACATTCATACGCATGCATCTGGCATCTCATCTAGGTGCGCTAGATGAACCACGTGAAGAACATGATGTTGGAGCCGAACCCGAAGACGATGTATGGAGGATCTATCCCGAAGATGGAAGGACTAAGCGAATGCTAGGACCTGAGACGTCACCAGGACGGTGCAAGCTAACTGAACTGACTTGTGTCGGATCCCAGGCAAGCCCCGGAGCATTATAAGTCTCCTAATTTATAAAAGCAATTCTTTCTATATATGAGTTATATATTGTTGCATTAAGTTGTAGGAGTTGATCGAAACCGTTGATGCATTTATTACTATCCTTGCCTACCTTATTATCCTTTTACCCTGTTAGGTTAGGATCGAATAACTGCTTAGCCTTGCTTAGACCGGTAGCGATCGGTGATATCCGGTCACCTACATTTATAGGTGGTTACTGGAAGAATTTAGCTATGGAAAGAATGATATCCTGGAATTAACCATGTGTGATGGATAATTGGAGACCGGACGGAAAAGTTGGAGGCAACCAGACAGGGTTATGGGGTGCTGTTAGTTTCCGTCTGTGTCGATTAAGGACCGTCCGTTGTTGGGCCTCGAGTCATGTTGAACGCAAGCCTTACATTTAGCTGGCCGGATAAAGTAACTTCCGACTGCGAAGCTGGAAGATTATTCGGGCCGAGTAGATTGCCCGCAGCGCACTGTGCCGGAGCAGGTGTGGTAGGACATGGGGGCGAGTGTCGATGCGGGACCCACAGGATACCCCGCAAGAGAGAGAGAAGATCTAGTCCAACTAAGATTCTTCCCATGTAATCTCAGTAATAGAACTATTAAGTAATCCTACTAGGAAATCTCATTGTAAACCGATTAGGACCCTGGCCTCCTGACTATATAAAGGAGGGCAGGGCTCCTGAAAGAGGACAATTGGTACGACATAACACTTCATAATCAATCCAACGCAAAAGGCAAACACCGACTGGACGTAGGGTCGTTACTCGATCTACGATCGAGGGCCTGAACCAGGATAAATCGACTGTCTCTTGCATTCACCATCGAGTTCAGCATGCGCCGAAACCCAAACGATACTACCGCGGTACCCCCGTGGTAGGCTATCGGTGGTAAAACATCGACAGCTGGCGCGCCAGGTAGGGGCCTTCGGCGACTTTGCATCCGAGAGCTCGATGGACCTCAATAACATGATCTTCCCGATGGGATTGATTTTCATCTTCGGCTCGTGGATCT